TAGGGGAGCTACATTCAAATCTGAACCGATCTTAACAAAATTTTAAACACTTATTTCAGAGATGTATCGTGTATCTGGTACCAAATATCATTCTTGTGGAGAGCATAATACGCATGTGAGGGACTTAAAACCTCAAATTGGATGTAACATATACAGGGTGAGATGAAAAATCTGCAACCAAATTCGGACTGCTGTCATTTCTAAGCCACTCGTCCGACGTATAGCCCCCATGTAACGGTATCTTCATATATTCGGTATTTTGACGATTTTAGGTAAAATATTTCGTATTTGAAGTTCCTAATAGGTGCTACGTTCTGTGACATGAAATAGTCGATGCAGGTCCATGTCTTCGTATAGCACCCATATAGAGGTACCTCCCGATATTCGGTATTTTGATGATTTTAGCGAATTTATTCACCGGCATTGTTTCAAATTTGGTATCTGAAGTTTCTGTTGGCTGCTACGGCCTAAGACAGAAAATTGTCTGTGCAGGTCCACGTCTTCGTTTAGCCCCCATATAACGGTACTGCGACCTAGGGTAGAAAATTGTTTGTGGAGGTCCATGTCTTCGTATAGCCGCCATATATCGGTACCTTCCGATATTCGGATGTTTGATGATGCAGATCCACGTCGTCGTATATACACTAATATAACGGCTACATTCGGTATTTTTAAAATTTTAGTAGAATTTTTAACGGATTTTTTTTTTTTTGAAAATTACCAAATTAGTTTCAAGTGGTGGAGGGTATTCAAAATTCGGCCCTACGGAACTTATAGCTTTTTTTTAATTTTTTTTTTATAATCCTGCTGATACCATGCACTCTATAGCAAACTTTAACTGACCTAAAGCCAAAGTGGTATGATCTACTTGAAATAAATTCTTTTGTTACGGGAGCTCTACTAAATATGCATGATTGGTGAAGGCTATCATATAGTCGGCCTCGCCCGATTTTTGACTTTTCCTTACAGGTTATTTTTTTTATACCCTACACCACAAGCTGGTCAGGGTATTATGTCTTTGTGCATTTGTTTGTAACAGGCAGAAGAAAACGAGATAGACCCATAGTTCCTTTTGATGATCTGCACAGAATCACATTCTGAGTCGATTTATGCATGTCCGTCCGTCCGTCTGTCCGTCCGTCCGTCTGTCCATGTATTTTTGTAAACAAAGTACAGGTCGCATTTATTGCCCGATCCAGATGAAATTTTGCAAAGATCTTTTGTTTGGCCCAAGGACGAACCCTATTGAAATTGGAGATAATCGGTCAAAATTTAGATATTTTGCCTTTTATTGTGCACCATACGGGTAATATCAGCCCGAATTGTATGGAATTTTGCATATTCACCCAAATTAGGCCTGAAAACATGTGTGCCAAATTTGATCGAAATCGGTTCAGATATAGCTATAGCTCCCATATATATTTTTCATCCGATTTGTTATTTTTGTCCACCGCCGCCGTAATATGCACTCTGTAACAACAATATTTGGGGAAATATATCAAATGCAGCTCAGAAATACCTTTGCTAAATTGTATCAAGATCGGTTCAGATTTGGATATAGCTCCCATATATAACTTCGTCCGATTTACCATTTATTGTGCACCAAACGTCTAATATGGAATTTGGCACTTACAAATGATGGAATTTGGCACTTACGACCGAATTGAGTCTAGAAGCTAGTACGTCAAATTTGGTGAAGATCGGTTCAGATATAGCTATAGCTTCCATATATATTGTTCATCCGATTTGTTATATTTGTTACCCACAGCCGTAATATGCACTCCATAACAACGACATTCAGGGAAATATATCAAATACAGCTCAGAAATATCTTTGCCAAATTTTATCGAGATCGGTTCAGATTTGGATATAGCTCCCATATATATCTTTATCCGATTTCAAATTAATTGTGCACAAAATGGTCAATACAATTCCGAATTTAAAAGATACAAATGCTTCGGCATATTTAGTCCTTTGAACTTTAAATTATAATTATAATCATAGCGTGTATGATTGAATTCTCCCATAAAAACTTTTAATTGTTATGTGAAGCTCTACTTAATTAGCAAAGTGGTGTAGGGTATCATAAAGTCGGCCCCGCCCGACTTGAAGACTTTCTTTACTGGTGTCTTTGTGCATTTGTTTGTAACAGGCAAAGGGAAACGAGATAGACTCATAGTTCCTTTTGATGATCTGCATAGAATCACATTCTGAGTCGATTTATGCATGTCCGTCCGTCCGTCTGTCCATGTTTTTTTGTAAACAAAGTACAGGTCGCATTTATTTCCCGATCCAGATGAAATTTTGCACAGATCATTTGTTTGGCCCAAGGACGAACCCTATTGAAATTGGAGATAATCGGTAAAAATTTAGATATAGCTCCCATATATATTTTCGTCCGATTTGCTTTTTATTGTGCACCAAACGTGTAATATCAGTCCGAATGGTATGGAATTTTGCACAAACAACCAAATTAGGCCTGAAAATAAGTATGCCAAATTTTATCGAAATCGGTTTAGATATAGCTATAGCTGCCATATATATTGTTCATCCGATTTGTTATTTTTGTCCTCCGCAGCCGAAATATGCACTCCGTAACAACAATATTTTGGGGAAATATATCAAATACAGCTCAGAAATACCTTTGCTAAATTTTATCGAGATCGGTTCAGATTTGGATATAGCTCCCATATATAACTTCGTCCGATTTACCTTTGATTGTGCACCAAACGTCTAATATTTGCCCAAATGGGATGGAATTTGGCACATACGACCGAATTGAGTCTAAAAGGTAGTATGCCAAATTTGGTGAAGATCGGTTCAGATATAGCTATAGCTCCCATATATATTGTTCATCCGATTTGTTGTATTTGTTACTCACAGCCGTAATATGCACTCCGTAACAACGATATTCAGGGAAATACATTAAATTCAGCTCAGAAATATCTTTGCCAAATTTCATCGAGATTGGTTCCGATTTGGATATAGCTCCCATATATATCTTTATCCGATTTCAAATTAATTGTGCACCAAATGGACAATACAAGTCCGAATTTAAAAGATACAAATGCTTCGGCATATTTAGTCCTTTGAATTTTAAATTATAATTATAATCATAGCGTGTATGATTGAATTCTCGCATAAAAACTTTTAATTGTTATGTGGAGTTCTACTAAATTAGCCAAGTGGTGTAGAGTATCATAAAATCGGCCTCGCCCGACTTTAGGACTTTCATTACTATTTTTTTTTTTTTTGAAAATTTCCAAATTAATTCTAAATGGTGAAGCGTATTCAAAGTTCGAAGCACGGCCGAACTTATATTTTTAATATTTTTATTATTTGCTTTTTAATAAACATTTTATGAAAAAATATTTTTTATCGTCCAATTATTTAAAAAATATTTTCCATTCTTGTTATTTTTAGAAAAAAAACAGTAAAGAAAGTCTTAAAGTCGGGCGGGGCCGAATTTAATCATACACGCTATGATTATAATTATAATTTAAAGTTCAAAGGACTAAATATGCCGAAGCATTTATATCTGTTAAATTCGGACTTGTATTGTACATCTGGTACACAAATTATTTGAAATCGGATAAAGATATATATGGGAGCTATATCCAAATCTGAACCGATCTCGATATAATTTGGCAAAGATATTTCTGAGCTGTATTTGATATATTTCCCTGAATATCGTTGTTACGGAGTGCATATTACGGTTGTGGGTAACAGATATAACAAATCGGATGAACAATATATATGGAAGCTATAGCTATATCTGAACCGATCTCCACCAAATTTGGCATACTAGCTTCTAGACTCAATTCGGTCGTATGTGCCAAATTCCAGCCCATTTGGACAAATATTAGATGTTTGGTGCACAATAAAAAGTAAATCGGACGAAGTTATATATGGGAGCTATATCCAAATATGGACCGATCTCGATAAAATTTAGCAAATGTATTTCTGAGCTGTATTTGATATATTTCCCCAAATATTGTTGTTGCAGAGTGCATATTACGGCGGCGGTGGACAAAAATAACAAATCGGATGAACAATATATATGGAAGCTATAGCTATATCTGAACCGATTTCGATCAAATTTGGCATACTTATTTTCAGGCCTAATTTGAGTGTATATGCAAAATTCCATACAATTCGGGGTGATATTACATGTTTGGTGCATAATAAATGGCAAATCGGACGAAGATATATATGGGAGCTATATCTAAATTTTTACCGATTATCTCCAATTTCAATAGGGTTCGTCCTTGGTCCAAACAAAAGATCTTTGCAAAATTTCATCTGGATCGGGCAATAATTGTGAACTGTACTTTGTTTACAAAAATACATGGAGAGACGGACAGACGGACGGACGGACATGCATAAATCGACTCAGAATGTGATTCTATGCAGATCATCAAAAGGAACTATGGGTCTATCTCGTTTCCTTCTGCCTGTTACAAACAAATGCACAAAGACATAATACCCTGACCACCCTGTGATGTAGGGTATAAAAATAGATCGCGTCTTTTTTAATTCCTAAAATTCCATCCTGTCTGGAGCCCTTTCAAAAATTACGTTTCAAGAATGCAATGATGGGAAGGTATTTCCCCTTCTGGAAAAAAGATATCAAAACATTGCAGAGTCTATAAAGATAAGATTCCAAAATATACGTTGTTTATTTCTTTATTGCCTATTATCAGATCACCTTTTGATAATTATCACCATGGGTTTGGTAAAAATTGCCCTATGTCACAATTCGTCTTCAATATTTATCGGCGTTTGTTTTTCTTTTGGCCTAGTCATCTATGTGCTTTCGAAGATTTCATGTGTTTTGGCCTCAAAAGCCAGCATGAGTCATAGCATAAAAATAGTTACCAAAATACGCCAACGACTTACCATGGTTATCAGAAAATCCCACCTCAAAAAAAAAATTATAAAAAATAACAACAAAAGCCAACTGGGTTTAATTTGAACAAAAATAATTTATAAAATATTTTATGTTTTTTTATTACTATTTTGTTTTTAAAAACTTAAAAATAAAACAAGGCATCTTAAAACTTAATAATACTATGAGACATGTGTTCTGCATTAAACAGCTGGAATGTGATTGTGTGTGTGTGAGTGTTTGTTTGTTTGGTGTAAAAGCTCTTCGTTTTTCGTTTTGTGCATAACTTAAGCTTAGCTACTATATTTTTTCATTTAACAAAAATTTAACATATTTACAAAGCCTTAAAGCTCGATTCCGCCAAGGACCCCTTACACCTTGGTGCAGTATTGATCATTTGTAAAATCCGGCGCCGCTGCTGCCTCTGAGTCTATGGTATAAGGCGGTGGAGTATGGGCCAACACCTCATTGAGTGTGGCCGAGGTATCCTGCCTGGCCAGACCACCGCTAAGTCGCAACGTGGCCAACTCGGAGTGGGGCTTTTTGAAAAACTTACTAATATAATTGGCGGTAATTAAAGCTGCCACAATGCCAATCAGAGAGCCACACAGGACATCGGACCAATGATGCCAATTGTCCATGATGCGGCTGAGGGCCGTAAACCAGGCCACCATAATTAGGGTGAATTGAATGAAATGTCTGGTCAAATCCGATCTGCGCCAGTGCATGCGTTTTTGCAGATACAGAGCAACATAAACCATGCTATAGACTACCAAACTGGAATGGCCACTGGGGAAGGAGAGACGGGCCTGACGCACATCGGCTGCTGTAAAACCCGTGCCCAGGCAAAAATAATTCTCCACATAACGATGTTGATTGAAGGAATCCGCACACGTTGAACCATCCGAGAACTGGGGCTGGCAAACGGCCATGAAATGAGGCCTCAACCGGCCAATGGTGTATTTACCCAATTCCGTGGCATCAAAGGTCAACAGGAGACCAAAAGCAAAATAGACCAATTGTTTGAAAATATTACAATACCAAATGGGTATGCGGCAACCCCAGAGATATCTGGTATTACTAATGGTGCCCTTTTTATACTGCCTCACATACTCCCCGATGCCAATGATAAGGAAGGTAGGCACCGCCAGAATTACACCCAACAGCACAGGAGTAATTGTATTATCCTTGAAGGGATAACGTATGGTTTCATCATCGCAAAAGAATCCCCGACGAAATGGTTCGATGGCAAATTCACACACAGCAATGGGTATGACGAGGACAATGACGATCAACAGATCCAGTAGTATGCGGTGAAGAAGTTTTCGACTCTCAGCCAATTCGGCTGTGGTGGGTTCCACTCGGCTACTGGTTTGCATTGTGATGGGATTGTGGTGCGGACCTGGAAAAGGGTGAAGATTACGTTCCACGAAGTCAGAAGAGACAGACAGGCTATAAAGTTTTCAGGACGAAATTGGAAGGCTTTCCGATTTTTTCTGGACAGATTTTTTAAAAGCTGCTTGAACAGATGTTTTGGAGAGATTAAAGCTCCTCACTTCAACTAAAAACTGAACTTCCCTTTGTTCCCTGTTAGGAAATTGGAATCGATTGGGTGTTTAGATTTCGGAACGGTTCAGTTTCAGACTAAAAATCACTTTAAGGCAAAAAGCTTTTCTTTGAAGCCTTTTCCGTTGCGATAAATTTAGATTCTGCCAATTCGAACTTCGGCTAATCTCGGCGAATTGTTTTCCACCTGAAATTTGATGGTTGATTTTCTGGGAGGGCGAAATGATCAGCGATTTCTCTCTCTCTTTCCTCTCTCTTTCCTCTCTCTTCGGACGATTATTCTCCTTGTGCAGTTTGGGAGCTTTCGATAGCTTTTTGGGTTTTACTCAAATTTCTTGGCAACCCTTGGTTTACTAGTTATTCTCCTCTATTATACTTATTTTCCCTTCTCCTCTCTCTCACTCCCTTTTCTCTCTGAGTAACGAATTGGACGTTTGATTTTTTGATAGGACGAAATAATCAGAGAATTCTGTGTTTCGTTGAAAGCAAATACTTCAAGTTTTCTGCCGTGTGGTGAGAGAGGTTTTGAATGTTTTTTTTTTTTTTTTAATTTACTCAAGGGTTTGGCTGCTCTGGAACTCTTTCTGCCTCTCTCTCTCTCTCTCTCTCTCTCTCTCTGAGAAACGAATTGGACGCTTTAGCTTGTTTTGAGTTATCTTTTCGAAAAAAGCGAAGCTTTTTATTAATTCTCAGAATTCATTTAAATTCCGCAACTCTTTTTCCTGTCTTTCACTATCTCTCTCTCTCCCTCTCTTTTCTCTCTGAGTAACGAATTGGACGCTTGATTTCTTGTCGGGATGAATTGATCAGACCTTCCTTCCTTTGCTACACGTGTGAGCTTCTGAAAGTTTTTTTTCGAGTTCACTGTCTTCCTCTCTCCCTCTTTTTCCGAGGTACGAACTTGGTGGCTGATTTTTGATGGGACGGCCTTCCTTTCTTCAAGTGTATGTAAATGCTTTGGTTTTTTCCTTTGTAACGTCTATGAGCTTTTAAAAGTTTTTTTTTTTCGAATTGACTCTCTCTCTCCAAGGTACGAACTTGGCGGCTGATTTTTGATGGGACGAAATGATCAAGGATGTTCCTCTTGGAGACCAAACAAAAACTTAGGTGTCTAGTGCGAAAGCTTTTGCAAAGTTCCTACTTCTCTCGAACTTTAGTGTTGATTTTATTGTTTCGGAGCTTTCTCTCTCTCCCTCTCTCTCTCTCTTTCAAATGAACTAAAAAGTTGTTGCTTCAAAGTAGTTGTATGGCAAATAAAAAAAGCTTTCTTTGAATTTTCCTTTATCTGCAATTTAATGCTTAGAGCTTACTTAAGCTTAAAGAGCTTTCCTTTTTTTGGTATTTTGAAGAGATTTTGATTAATTATTTAAGCTTTTCAGATCAAAAATATATCTCCTTTAGCTGCGTTTCCAAGGCCAATTTTTTTTTTGTCTTCAGGGTTGTATATCTCGTCTGAGATATCTTTTTTGTGATGGCTCTTTTAGGTTGGACTTCAAAGCTTTTCGATGATTTTTTATCAATTTGCGGATTTTTTTTTTCCTTCCAGTATTTCAGGACTTCAGACTTCAAGTTTCAGAGAATTTCAAAGTTGTTCCAAAAAAGAATTGAAATATTTTGATGTATTTGTTTCTTTTAATAAAATTCCATTGATTTCCTTGAGTTTTCTCTCTCTCTCTCTCTCTATAAAGCTCTCTTTAGACTTCTCTCCGCTCTTAATTAATGTTTGATGTTGTTTGGAAAGAGTTTTAAAATTTCTTTGGTTTGTTAGTTGCCCAGTTGCATTAAGTTGTGTGTTTGGTGGCTAATTGTGAAGCTGCTGTGAGTTGCTTATGCTGTTCATGTGTTATAATTCTCATTCACTTAGTTGGTTTTAAATGTTGCCGTATTTTTTTAGAAATTTTGTTTCGTTTTTTATTAAATATTTATTTTTGTAGTTATGTATGACTTGTCTTGATTTTTTTAAATGATTTTTTAGAATTTTTCTAAATGATTTTTTTTTTTAATTTGTGTTATGCAAATAATTCTCATTTACTCGATATTTAAAAAACTTATTTTATAAAATAATCTTTGGCAAGTTTTTTTTTCTCACATAAAAATTCGTCTGAAATAATTGTTGTATTTTTATTGTAATTTTTTTGTATTGTGTTATTTATATCCACTGCTCCAAATACCGCAACTTTAATTTCCACGAACCCCGTTTAGTGATTGATTATGATTTTTTGATTTTCGATTTGATTTTTGCAAACTTATTTGTATTCAGCTTAAAACCACATTTTGAGGGATTTCTCAATGAGTGTGTGTTTGGTCTCTGAAAAAAAATTGATCTCGTCACAGCTCCTCCGCTCGAATTTGGTAGTAATGCGCGGCGTAACGACGTTCGTGTGCGTTTAATACTAGTTCGATGTGGCGTTGTCGCAGGGTCGTTTGTTGTCGTTAGACTAAAGTTCTCTACATTAATGTCAGGAAATTTTATATGAAGAACCTCATCGTCATCATCACCAATGAGACACAGCAACAATGAGTTGGAGAGCCAGCCGGCCCGCCAGCCAGGCAAGAGAGCAATAAAAACCCAACGTAGTTAAATGAGTCAGTTGAATCCGATGATGTTGCTGATAATGAATGATTAATCCCCACCACTACTACCACCACCAACACACAAGTCGGCTGGGTAGTTATCCAAAAAACAACTGGGTGGTTGAATGTTAACGCCGCTTCGTTGTGCCTACGTCGTAATGAGACTTCTGTTCTATTCTCTCTTGCGCTTTCGCTTGGTCTTTATTAAAGTAGAATCCCAACTACTTTTCTGCGGGTATTTGAACGTGTGTTATTTTTTTTCTCCTCTTTTGATTGTCGTAAATTGCGCTCGGCTTAATCTTATGCGACATTGATCATTATTTTAACTTGTCAAAAGCGTCATCAAAACAGCGTCAGCAACAAAATTCTCTTGTTATTGTCATTTAGCCGTAGAGCATAGAAATTTGCCGCTATTTTATTTCGTTAGTCGTTGTTGTTTTTTTTTTTTTCGGTTATTTTTACTGGAGTACTATTCATAAATTGCCACCGTCGAATCAAAACAAAAGCGGGTGCAAAAGAGGAAATGCCACGAAGTGCTGTAAATAAATCACAGAACTTAAATAGACACCACCAGCAGCAGTAGTAGCAGCAGCAGTTGGAAATCACACGCCGATCACCGGACACTGAAAGAATAATTTAAAAGGAGAGAATTGGATATTAGAAACCTTTTTTGAATGACATATCAACATCTTTGCAGGTGTATTTTGAAACTGTTTAAATATAATTTTTTATACCCTCCACCATACTATGGAGGGTATATTGACTTTGTCATTCCGTTTGTAACTCCTCGAAATACTCATGTCAGACCCAACAAAGTATATATATTCTTGATCAGCGTAACATTCTAAGTCGATTTAGCGATGTCCGTCTGTCTGTCCGTCTGTCTGTCCGTCTGTCTCTCCGTCTGTCACGCTATCTTTCGAATGAATTGAGATAGATGGCTACAATTTTGCACACATGTTTATTTTTCCAGTAGGCAGGTTAAGTTTGTAAATGGGCCATGTAGGTCCACGTGTTCATATAGCCCCCATATAACGGTACCTCCCTATATTCGGTATTTTGATGATTTTAGCGACATTATTCACCGGAATTGTTTCAAATTTGGTATTTGAAGTTCCAAATGGATACTACAACCTAAGACAGAAAATTGTCTGTGCAGGTCCACGTCTTCGTATAGCCCCCATATAACGGTACCTCCCGATATTCGGTATTTTGATGATTTTAGTGACCTTTTTCCCGGAAGTAATTTAAAATTTGGTATTTGAAGTTCAAAATGGATACTACACCCTAAGACAGAAAATTGTCTGTGCAGGTCCACGTTTTCGTATAGCCCCCATATAACGGTACCTCCCTATATTCGGTATTTTGACGGTTTTAGGTACAATACCCACCGAAATTGTTTGAGATGTGGTATTTGAAGTTCGTAATGGATGCTACAGCCTGTGAAAGAAAATTGTCTATGCTGGTCCAGGTCTTCGCACAGCTCCAATTTAACGGTACCTCCTTATAAACGATATTTTGATGATTTTAGCTACATTATTCACCGTTTATTTCAAGTTTCGAATTTGAATATGGTAATTGCTTATGACAAACAATGCCTATGTATGTCTATATTGGGTTCTATACGTCGTATAGAACCCAATATAACGGCTATATTCGGTATTTTTAAAATTTTTTAAAATGGTGGAGGATATTAAGATTTTTTAACTTGTTAAGAATTGCATTTTTTATACCATCAGTCATATGGCTATAGAGGGTATATATCATTTAATGCCTCATCGAAATAACATTTTTAGACCCTAGGTCTTTTTGGACCAAATACGTTTCAGGACATTTGGAGTCGAGCTGGCGATGTCCGTACGACCATCTTTCTGTCTATCTGGATGGCTGATGTGCACGATAACTCTCGAAGCGAGTATCCGATGTGGTCCAAACTTGAAACATCGTAATATTTTTGTCAAACTCATACCGACTTCGGAGATGGGCAATATCGGTCCACCTTTTCTGGTATCTTCCCCACAAAAGTTCGAAATTTTCAACAAAAAAATACCTCTCTGCACAGAAAGAGAAAAAAACCAGAAAAAAAGTCTTAACGTCGGGCGGGGCCGACTTTATGATACCCTACACCACTTTGCTAATTTAGTTTTTATGGGAGAATTAAATCATACACGCCATGATTATAATTATAATTTAACATTCAAAGGACTAAATATGCCGAAGCATTTGTATCTTTTAAATTCGGACTTGTATTGCCCATTTGGTGCACAATTAATATGAAATCAGATAAAGATATATATGGGAGCTATATCCAAATCTGAACCGATCTCGATAAAATTTAGCAAAGATATTTTTGAGCTGTATTTGTTATATTTCCCTGAATATCGTTGTTACGGAGTGCATATTACGGCTGTGGGTAACAAATATAACAAATCTAATGAACAATATATATTGAAGCTATAGCTATATCTGAACCGATCTTCACCAAATTTGACATACTAGCTTCTAGACTCAATTCGGTCGTAATTACCAAATTTCATCCAATTTGGGCAAACATTAGACGTTTTGTGGACAATAAAAGGTAAATCGGACGAAGTTATATATGGGAGCTATATCCAAATCTGAACCGATCTCGATAAAATTTAGCAAATGTATTTCTGAGCTGTATTTGATTTCCCAAATATTGTTGTTACAGAGTGCAAATTACGGCTGCGGAAGACAAAAATAACAAATCGGATGAACAGTATATATGGGAGCTATAGCTATATCTGAACCGATTTCGATCAAATTTGGCATACTTATTTTCAGGCCTAATTTGGTTGTGTGTGCAAAATTCCATACAAATCGGACTGATATTACACGTTTGGTGCACAATAATAGGCAAGTCGGACGAAGATATATATGGGAGCTATATCTAAATTTTAACCGATTATCTCCAATTTCAATAAGGTTCGTCCTTGGGCCAAACAAATGTTGTTTGGAAAATTTCATCTCAATCG